TGGGATACCGAAATCGGTGTAATAGCAAGATTTTTTAAAGAAAGTTTTCAATAGACTTACTTTTTTGCCTGCACCAACTTTAGCTTTCTTAGTTCCTCTGACTTTCTTCATTCTGTTCTTCTTCTCCTTTCTCTGTTTTCTGGCAGGTCTGCTGCCTTCATATAGACCAAGCTAACAAAAACAATTCTTCTTTAACAAGATAGAGTACATGTCACCTAAACAGGATAATCATCTCCTTTTTGTAATCTCAAATCCACTGGAACATGATTTGCAATAACACTTGTTTAAAACATGAATTGTTGAGTGGTTTGTTGGGAAACTACATGTACATGTAGCATTGGTACCAAGAAATTTTGCTTTTCAAGATGATCTTTGTCCAACAACAAGGTTCTATAGATCAAATGTTATGTCCATACATGCCAACACAATAGAACGATTTCACATAACCGGATAAAAAATGCTAATGAGGATCAATTTATGCTAATACACATTACACGATTTTACACGTGGAACAATGAGGATATTGATGACCGMTTTWCTTATTTGACGTACAGATATGTTTTAAATAACAATTAAATCAYAACAAACATTCAAAATCACACTAAAGCTTTTTCTTCACGGCATCCTTTCTCTTCTTAGGTGTCTTCTTGCCCGCATATTTCATTTCTAGCTATCGCATTGAATTATCTTCTGGTTCTGGTCATTCTGTCACAWTTGATTTGCACTGTGCTGTGGTGTGTACTGGATCAGATATGGTCTTTTTGATTATTCCTTTCAGTCTCGTGATTGATTGCACATTACTACTCTTAAAGTAAAACTGAACTAGATAAAAAAAGTGTCTGTGAAATGTGCAGGAAATTTATCGAAGATAATTGATTAATTTATTATTGTAATTAGCTGGCCCTTCCAGCAATTCAGTTGTAAAACTGCAATCGCTTGAAATAAACAAGCATCATCATCGCCATCGTCATCRTCATCATYATTATTATTAATATTATATCAGGGAGGCCAGTGTTGACTATCCCCTTGCATTCTAAGACAAAMTTGTGCTCCTGCTCACTGACATTAATTCTCTTTAGCTTTAACATGTCTAAAACACCAACATAAGCAGCCAAAACTGCACAAATAAAACATTTGTTTGCTTTTACAAACATTCCAACGTGCAGGAAAAACAGTTCATAACGCGAAAAAAAATTGAAAAACATTTTTGTGTCTATTGTTTTTTGTGTCTATTTTTTGCAAACA